TATGTTCTCGGGAGATACAAGAAATAGATATTAAGAGTTACATAATTTTGCAAATTGTTTATTTTCATAAAGGAGATCCAATTTATGCTTGGAGTACACAGTGAGTCAGGAGGACGGATGACCTTTTGATAGATTTTAACCAATTTACATTGTGATATAATTCTATGTACTATGTAACAATTATTCCACAGGATTTATGATCCAGGTGGATCTTTATTTAGCTCAGTTTCATTATAGAGCAAACCAAATTAAACAAGGCGTCTTTACTAAACTGTTCTGACTTTTAAAAAACTGTAACAAAATTGACTTTTTAATACTCAAAAACATTTGGTGCTCAGGAATGATGTTATAAAATTGTGCTGTGTGAAGTTATATAACCCAGGCTGATGATATATTAGTGTGATCAAAGTGTTCAGATGATAGCTGACAAAAAAGGTGCCAATAATGTAGTCTTCAACTTGGCACTATTTATAGAGTTCAGTTTGCAAATTTGCAATGTCCTAACAAGTTTTTTTTACTCTTTAACAAGGTTTACAATGAATATCCATTTTCTGTCAGAAATAGTTCAGCTCAGATTGCAGACCACAAAGGGGGCAGACAGCTGCTTCCTTCTTCATTGCTGGTACAGCCTCCCACCCTGGAGCATCTGTCCTTGGATAAGTACAAAATAGAATCATCTACTTCATGGCAAGTTCCAGTCTCTGATATTGTTAAGCACAACAACAATGGAGCTTCATTTAGATGTTCCACCATGTCAATGGCTATGCCAGCACCTACCAAAGTGACCTAACTGTCACATCTTGCAATAAAACAAGCTTAAATAAAAAAAATTACGGCAGATGTTTGCTCAAAACACACACACACACACACACACACACACATACAGACACATATCAAAAGAGATAGCTTGTATATCAGGATTGTAAGGACAGCCTGATTTAATACATACACATTTCATGTCAGGAAGTTCAGAAGATGCCTTTTCCTCTGCAAATACCACACTGCTCCTCTTTCCTCTCCTCCTGGATCTTCTCATCTTAACTTCGGAGCTTAATAGGTGAACATTGTCATCCAACACTGACTGGGTTGCTTTTGGTGACATGATTTCCAGTTCAAAGCTGTAGATGAAAATTGAGGCAAAGTTTTCTTAATTATGCTGCCTATGGCACCCACATTAATCTAGTCCATAATATAATTTCAGATTTTGCCAAGTAAATACATATGTATCTTGGACATGTTAGAGTGCGTGTGGTGAATGTCATCAGGTGGGAACAGGCTAATTCGAACTGTCATTATGTTACCTTTTAATAAAAAAAATGCCACAAACTTAGCTTAAAAGAAACAGTAGATAGAACAGGAAGTGACTACAAAGTCATAAAAAGCAGGTGAGTTGCCTGTACTGCAGAATATGGTGAAGAGTTCAGACTGAAGACAGGGCTAAAATGAGCTTCACCAGCACATTGAGGGGGAGAGGTGAGCTTAATGCAGGGGGGGGGGGGGTGGGTTTAAAAATAGAAACTCCTGCTTTAAATACTCCTGTGTGACTGGCAACAGCAGTTTAATACATAACAATCATAAAGTAACTGGCACTATTTAGACATCCCAGGCTTCCCTCAGAGGACTAATGCAATATAATGGTTTCAGTGTTAGACTAGGACTCTGAAGGACCAACTAATTCCCGATCAGCCGTGAAAGCCCACTGAGTGACCTTAGTCAAGTCATATTCACTCAGTCTCAGAAGAAGGTAATGACAAATGTCTCCTGAACAAATCTTGCTAAGAAACCTCAAAATAAGTTTGCCTTCAAGTTGCCTATGAACTTATGGTAACCCTACCAATGTCACTGGGTTTTCTTAGATAAGGAATATTCAAGAGATGGTTTTGCCAGTTCCTTCCTCTGAAATGTACAGAACTTGGTGTTCATTGATGTTCTCCCATCCAAGTACTAACTAACAGAATCTGGTACCTTTAGGGTATAGGGTCATCATAAATAGGAAAATATTTGAAGCAACTCAACATTAATGCTTTCCTCAATGTTAACCAAAAACAGTAACTACAAGATGGAAGATAATTTTACTTATGTTGCTAAAGTTGCCAATTTTATACATCCCAAGTTTTCTTACAAAACATAATACATATTTGTATTAGAAATTCACACATTTGTGAAGCGTGTGGTATGTTTGTACTTACAAAATAATGTATGAATATATTTAAAATACAGTATGTTTTGTTAATAGTAATCAGGCAATTAAAGATGCTATTTGCTTTATTTTAAGTGCTTTCCCAGCATGGGCTTTCTTAGCATGGTGCCCTATGAGATATGCTGGAATGCACATTGCCGAGGGCCATGATGGCAAGGATCAATGGGAGTTGCAATATGACACATTTTCAAGGCAGCAGGTTGGGAAAGTCTACGTTAGAGAACAATGAGGCACAAGTGAGGGACAAGCCTTAGTGTGGCATTGGTAATGAAATATATGCTTTTATCACTTTGCTCCTGAAGAAAAGGTCATGTCTGGAAAAGAGAACCTCTTCATCAGATAATGAAGAAAGTAAAAGAATCAGGGTTCTTGGTTACCTTAAGATCCTCCATGCTAGAAGTACTCCTCTTCAGGCATGTTGCTTTTGCATGAGCAAAGGAATACCAAAAGAGAGAGGGACCTAACATACTGCTCTCCTCATGCATTTAAAGACCATGCAATCTAAATGTATGAATAAGGCTACTTGTCATAAAGAAGATAGGAAAACAACACATTTTTTTTACAGTAGCGTTTACGGTCTGTTGTCTTCTCTTATGATATAAGCAAACATTTAATAATATTTTTCATGCAACTTGACAGTCGAAGCAGCAAGTTACATTGGACATCTTAACTGGTTATCAGTGGAATCAATCTTGTGATTGCTCGTTTTCAAAGTGTTCAGTTTCAAAGTAGTGTTTAGATTTCATAATGCTTAAAGCAGGTCTCAACTGTTCTTCTAAATATAACATAAATTCTATTTCAAAACAATTGTGGAGTAATATAGAATAGAGCGATTCTTTTTAGTTTGGACCTAGGAAATATGCTACTGCCACACATCCACATCATCCCTGTTGACAAGAGTTGACAATATAAAACTCACGTTTCTGAGGGAGTCTTGCTTGGTGTAGGACAGTCTGAATTCATAGAGGACAGTGAAATTATAGACATCTGGCGGTATGATCTTAGCATAGATGTTGGCCGACCAACACGCCTGTCATCAAAATCAGGCTAAGAGAAAAACAGAATGAGTTTTTTAAAACAATATTTCATTATCTGCCCTACTAGGAGAAAAACCAAGATGCAAGGCAGGATGTATTGAATATTTTTCAGCAACGACTAATACCTTGAATTTTCTCTTTATTTCATTTAATCTCAATTATAAAATTTAGCAACAATATAGAAAACAGTGTTTGAAGATAATTGTGGGAAGCAATTACTTTGCCTTTTTTATTTCAATCATCCACCCAGTTCTGAAAGTACTGTGTCATTAGCCAAATGACTCCTTTTCACTGCATATTACATGACACCTTCAATTTATTTAATAAATCAAGTTTAAAATAAAACTATTTATTGCTATACATGGATTATTTTATATCTGAAAAGTCTATAAAGTAGTGACATGGTCATCAAATCCTTAATGGTTTTAAAGTCAGCAGATACTTGTTATGCAGAAAACAAATATTATTAAGCTAGTTATGAAATTTAGTTCCATAAGACAAAGAGTCGGTGTATTTTTATATGACATATTCCATTCATACAAGGTCAGCATATACTTTATTACATATTAATCATGTATGTAAGATTACATAAAACATGCCTTGCTAAACTAAATACACCTGGTTAATTCAGTACTAGATATAGTCAATAGATATGCTAGTTCAATAAGAAATTGTATATAAGAAAAATGCTATATATGTACTGTGAGTGTGAGTGCAGTGGAACAGGTGAAAATGGTGGAAATTGGGTCTGGGGTAAGAAAAGGAAAGCTGGTTTCAGCAATGGGTGGAAGAAGTTCTAAATACAAAGCAGAAATGGCCCTTCAGTTCAGTAACAAAAACAACTGCTAAAAGTAAATGTTGAAAGCCAAATGAGAATCACATTTTGCCAATTTATTTTAAAAGGGGATGGGGGTCTCATCAGCAATATGACAATTGATGGAAAGTGTAGCTTCCTTTAGGTTTCCAGTGTTGAAGGCTGCACAACATGGAGCCTACAAAAGTTGGTAAATCCAAAGCAACATAGCACAAAATTGCACTACTGTCTGCCCTTTCTGCTGACCTTGGGATTTCTCATCTGGCTGGGTTTAAAAAGTCACACCTGTCTTCCAGTTATTCATTGAGAAAGTCTGCATGGTGCCTGTGCTTCCTGTTTTTGCAAAATGAATCAGACAACATGCAGGAGTCTATCTCTTGGCATCCGAGCAGCCCGGAGAATGAACAGAAGGCAGGTACTTAAAATCTTTCCTGCTGAGTAACAGTTCTCTCTATCTACCAGCCACCCAGCCAAAAAATGGGACGGAGAATACTAGGAGGACATGATGCCCAGGTAAGGTTGGGTCAGAGTTATCTTCCTCTTGACATGTCTACAGATAATACATTATTTTCCTGGCTAAAATCAGCCCATGACCCAGCTGCTTTGTAAATGCAGGTCACACTCTCTATTTTCTGCTAATATTATCAAAGAGGCTGAGTGTTCTTTCATCATTTATACAGAGGAACCATTCTCAACATGCTTATATGGGGAAATCTGCCACGTTCCTGAGTTTAATAGTTGAAAAGTGAGGGCTTTATTTTGAAAAAAAATAAGAAATGATTGCAGAGATATGAGGCCTGTATTGAAATTGCTATATAATCTCATGCTTCGGGCTCCTTTCTGACACTGTCTCATTTCACCTGGAAAGCCACCTCTGGCAAGAGATTCAGAAAAGTCATTTAGAACTCCTCAAATTTATTTTGAAATACATTTTACATTTTATCTACAGTGGGAATTGCTTCACATCAGGTGAATCCCAAATGCAGTGAGAAGACACAATCAGCCCAGCTGCCTTTCTGAGGGGAAAAGCACATACCAGACAGCCAGAGAGATAAAACCAGAATGGCTGTACTTTCTGAATTAATTGATTCTCGCCCAGTATTGGAAGGTATGTTAAATACAGCTATCCCCAAGCTTATTAATTCACAAGAATCTTTTCCAGGAGATATGAATTAATATATTTTGCCATACATATCAGACAAAAATGGCTTTTCATCGCTACGTTGATATCTGTGCTGAATTTCAGCCCCAGAACTGAAAGATGTTTCTATCTAAAAAGACCACAAAGGCCCCACTCTGCTGTCAGGTCTATATTGCACCTGTGAAAGTGTTCCATATTATTAGACTTGGGAAACATTCACATGGCTTTCTGTAGGCCAGGTGAAATTAATTCAGCCCAGAGCATTTTCTCCCATCTTCAAGTAAGAACAGCTGACCCATTTCCACCTTCATCTAGGCAAAATGTGACGTCATTAGGTGGGAGGACTGCCATGCATTTCAGATGACTGGGGGTTTTCATAATGCTGAGGTCTGGAAATAGATTGCAAAAGATAATGCTCCATTTTAAATGGAACCAGCACTCTCTGCAGCCCTATCAGGCCTTTCTTATAAAGCCAATGTTATGGAAGAAAACCCCTTGTGCCTGTCCTATGCATAGTGAGACTGTGTCTTTTCCATGGCAGAAAGAAACCCAGGAGTCACAGAGCTAGGGGGAAGTTACTAAGTTTCCATTTATACTCATAAAATTGTCAAATGTCCATAATTCACATTATTTAGGACAGGCCAAATGGAATCCCCTGTGGAATAAGCTTCATAGTTCACCACCTTGAAGCCTTTTCTCAGCAAAATTGATTTAGACCATTAGAGCCTGCAAGGGGAATGTGTTCCAGGCAAGAACAGAAATGTTATTCCATATACAACAGCCCTCTCATTCTTAATGCTATCAAACATTTCATCTAATTATTCAGCTGTTTGGTTGGCAGTGCTCCAAGAGCTGTCAGAAGCACATTGTGGCTAATTCCATTCGGCAGGCTTTGTATACTATCATTTTTAGCCTCTGCTAATGTATTTATGTTTCATTACACCCAACAGAGCTTGTCTCAAAAGCAGATTCAGCAAAGCCTTGGAATGCTCCAAGAACCAGGACTGCTGGATATTCACTCTGTGTCATAGGACCAAGCTATAGTGAAAAAAGGTGGTTGGCATGCTTTCACAGGGCTCATTTCTATCTCTCCTACAAACTGAACACAAGAATAACTTCTAGGCAAAAACAGAGGGATAATAACTCTTAGCAAAGTGAAGTCTAGTGTTCTAAGAAACATGAAGTACTGTGTTACTGGATGAAAGGAACTATGACTTCAGAATATACAGAAAATCTTATGATATAAAAACTTTGTTTTCTTTTTCTTTTTTGTATTCCTTCTTCATAGGAGAGCTGTAATAGAAGTACAGAGGGAAATAAAGCACGAGAAATCTTACCAGTTCCCTGACACCATATTGTTTCTCCACCTTGGCCTTTAAGTGCCTGAAACACTCCTCCATGCGTTCATGGAAAGGACGAAGGCTGTCTGAAACTCTCCTCTCATGAATCTTAATTCCAGCTCCCAAAAATGGAATCTGGGAAGGCACAACAAGAAAACACTTTAAGTTGTATCCCACATTTCGACAAAATGACAAGATGATTGCAGAAATAAACCTGCAAATGGTAGTGTATTTATTTACCGATTGATGTTTTCCCGTATCACTTAGAAATATGTAATAGAAAGCTAACTGAAAGGAAATTTCTATATTGGGAAAGTCTAAATGGAGTATGCAGGTAACATACGTCCCCCCCCCCCCAAGTGTGTGTGTTCTCCCAGTGATCTTAGTCCTCAAAAGCTTTTCATCCTACTATTTTGGAGCAAATTATTTCAGCAAAAAGAGTTTTAAAAATTATACAGTGTTGTTCCTGGAAACTTCTAAGAGCTACTAATTACATGCAATCTCACCTATTCCCCCTCCAGTAACAAAATATTATAAAACTTGGAAGTACAAGCCAGAAACCATTTCCAATTTGGCTGAAAATTGGCTATTGGCTGAAAATGAACCAAAACCACTATATATAACCCATAGCTTTTTCCACCCAGTGTGGGGCTCTGCCTTATCCTACCAAATGTGAAGACTTCCACAATTATCACTGTTACCATCAAAAGTGACAATTTCCCCTTATCCCAGACTCTTCCACCAATGTAAGGATCTTCTGGGTGCCCTCAATGCACACTTATATCTCCACCAAACACGATGCCATGTCATTGGCATGGCCCCCTCGGGGTGAGAAAAGCAGTATACAAATATGGTAAATAAATAATAAATAATAAATGAATAAATACAGTGCTGCTATCACAGACAACTTGTCTGAATCCAAACTTTCCAATATAAAGTATTTCTAGAGGCAAAAAGGTTATACAGTAGATGAACATAATACATATTGCACTGTATCTTTTTAAAGGTTTCTATGCTACTTTGGGACCTCATCACATGAGTGGAGGGAAAGTGGGAGAAAGCATGGAAAAGTAGGAGAAAGTGTGGGACAGTCGAAGGAACCGTTTTACTCTGTTCCAATCCATCAAGGTCCATCTGCTGTCATCCCATGTCCTTTCCCCTTTCAGGTCCATCTTTCCCCTGTGTTCCTCTGCTCTGTAATATCTGGGGTCAGATAACACCCAACTCCTCAAAAGCCACTCTGGGCTCTGCTTCTCTATGCTGCTGAAACAGAGCCTCCCAAAAGTTGCCCTGCATCATGACCTTTGTGAGACCCCATTTCGGCAGCATAAAGGGTTAAGAAGATGCAGAGAATCCTGCATCTGATGAAGTCATATGCCATGTCATCTAGAAACTGAAATGGAGGGCCTTCATATTCCTAGACAAGCTAGCACAAAAAGGAGCACTGCTCTTTCCACAGATAAATGCATTACCAGACAATCATGAATATTTTTGTCATCTAAATAAGGGAAGACCTGCCTCATTAGTCAGAGTTTATAGAGGTTGTTGCATACATTTTGAGCAGTCTTTTCATAGCAGAAAGGATTTTTCTTGTTGTTTCACATGTCAACACAGGAAGGAAGATACTGACAATTACTAGTGCTTACCCAGAAACAGATTGGCAGCAATAAACTTGCAACTTTTGAAAAAGGATGGTTTAATATCACACTGCATCTCTAATGCAGTTTGGTGGCAACATTAAATGTTTTAACAAGAACATAAAATAGATCTGATATTTCCAGGAGATCTAGGTGTTTGCTGGGCCCCTGTCATACATACAACTCCTATTGTAGGTGGCAACAATACTGGGCTAGTCTCCCCAAGTCTATCTGATTTCCCCATTCAAATGTTTGTGGCATTGCTTTATATCCAATAGTTTTCTTTGACATAAGATATTTTTTGAAAAAAAAACAGGCTTTAAAAATCATAAGCACTCAGAGAGATGAGAAATCTCATGTATGATTTTACCTTTTGTGTGTGTGTCCATGTGTATCCTATCTGCTTGGAATTCTGGCTTGTTCAATCCTTCATGGTCAAATAATAAACCAACCCTATGGGTTATGATAAGACTGATAGTTGTAGCCCATTCTTCCCCAGACTGCCCTTTCTTCTGGTAAAAAAAGAGTGGACTGATTCTCTTAAAATTCTCCAGGAGTGGCAATTCATCTTTCAATTAGCTCACAGGGCCCCCAGACACTCCCTTCCAAAATTGCCCATCTGGCACATGCAAGAACTCCATTCACATACATGTGCTTGATGTTACTGTTTTAAAGATAATTTCATGACATAAAACTACTTGTCTATCAACTAGACTGCCCAATATGCTGCCCTTCTATCACCTTTTCTGCTGATAGAGCCATTCAAGGCTAAATAGTTGAACTAAATAGTTTAGGGAATGGTGTTTTATATTCTCAGAACAACTTAGTCAGGCCCATCTCAAGCTGATGCTGTTCTTATTTTAGACAACAGTTCCCACAAGCTAGCTCAAAAATTGCCAATGGATGATGAGAGTTGTTGAGGAATGCTGCCTTAGTATCTTTGGGGGGGGGGGGGGGGTTACTTTTGTTCACTTCTATCTACGGACTTTAAGCAAGCATATAACATTAACCATATTGCAATTAATTTTGTTGCTTGGTTTACCAAAATTTGGGATCACTACTAAAAAGTGAAGGTTGACATTAGAGGTCTTTTCAAAGGTTTACTGTCTCACTGGAGGTTTGTGATTACTTCCACTTGCTAGTTTTTTACTTCCTCTTTGTAGCCTACTCAATTCTTTTTGATAAGGGTCAGTGCACCATCCTTCAAATTAGAACAATTTTTAAACAAGCCCCTCAAAGCAGATTAACTTATTTTGTATGAAGGACAAGTTGGAACTCTACTTCTGCAAGAAAGGAAATGTGAATGCTAGAATGGAAAATAGGAAACCACTACTGGATTTTGTTTCTTTTGGAAGAAAGAAGAATGAATTTTTAAAATATTATTGACGACTTGCGAAGGGAATATAACAATTCGCTATTACTGGTTTTTCTTGTATAACGCCTCCTTCAACAGCACTATAGTCAGAAAGATTTTTTTTCTTATGGTTTTAATTCCTCTCTGTGGGCCATGAGGAGTAACTTTCAAGTCACTCCTATCTAAATAGGGCAATTGCACATAATACATTCAATAAACAGACCTACCATCAGCACTGTAAAAAAAAATGTTGTAGTTCCCTAAACAATGCAATGGAATTAATTTATTAACAATTAGTAAAATACCATAATTCTGATGCAGCCTGTAAAGGATAAACGTTCACTTGGGCGGGGGGGGGCAAGCAATCTCACCCTCTGCCCTTCAGCTTACAGGGTTATCGTTCAGCTGGACACTTCTTCGAATAAAGATAGTTAACTATAACAAGGGGGAAAGACTCTCTTGTCCCCACCTTAGTAATTTATCTATTAAGTGACCAACTGTGATGTAGTTGTAGACCGATGTAATTGTTAAATCACTGCCACCACCTCAAATTAAATAGGTCTGAGGAAAACCATATGTGTGAATGTGAAAAATAGGAAAAGTTATATTCAAGCTCTTTGTTCTTCTTTGACCACTGTTATTTTTGCTGACTAGACTGAAAGAAATCTTCTTTAAGTTAGCTGAGAAGTAAAGGTTGTGATAGACTGAGGCAGACACCAGATTAAAGGTGAAATAAGTAACAGGTTTATTTTAGAACTTAATGAACAGATCAACTCTTTAAAAAAGCGGTACAATAATCTTGATGCAGTTCAGTTCTTGAGGCTTAGCTGGTTTTAAACAGGCAGTCTTACATAAAGGCTTCAACTTTTGTTTCACAGTGAGTTCCTTGTCCCTACACTGATCACTAACTGACACGGTGTGTCCTTGAGCACAGTACACAAACTGCCTCCTAGAGCAACTCAGGCTTCCCTTTCACTGTCCCTACTCTGACCAGTGAATCAGGTTCCTTTGCCTAACCCTTGCTCTAATTTCTCAAGGCTCACACAAAAGTCTTCCCTCCCTGCCTAAGATCTCCACAGCTCTCTCTTCCTAAAATATACGTCTTTACTCCACGATGTCTAAACTCCAACTCCCTTACTTGTCAAATAAGCCAGCCTTTTTTCCCTCTAAATCCTAACTCCACCCCTGACTGTCCTAACCAATCAGGAGTCGGCTGACTCCTCCCTCCTGCCTCTGGCTCTCTTGCCTAACCCAGAACATGTCAGCTACTGACTTTCCAGGCTTCGGCCTTCCTGCCAAAAAGGTCAGTTTCACTACACAGCCATATTCACAATCTGAAAGTATACTGGAAATCGTATTATTATTTAGTATTTTATAAATGTATATCCCATCTTTCTTGCAATAATAAGATTTAAGGCAGCTTAATAACATATTTAAGAACAATGCAGATTGAAATTGTACAAAAGCTTCAATAAAAGCATGATATATATTTTTAAAAGCCTTAAACATCAAAAACATTAAAATGCATTAAAATACAGTCTACAATCCCCCTGCTGTTTCTGGGGAAGGTTGAATTTTATTCTTATTTAGAGAGGGGACAGACCCGTTTCATCTTTGCTCCTTCTCCATGCATAGCCTGCTTGCCTAATATCTAAAACCTACTTGTCCAAGCCTGCAATGAACAAATTACACAGATCCACCTCAGTAAGTCTCAGACGTAGTCCACCTTCCACCCGTTTGTTCTCCTTACACCCCATTTGCTCAGTGAAGCTTGTTGTCCAATTGTGTATACACCCCCAAAAATGTAAAACATATCCTCCAACAAACATAGAATCTCACACCTTGGGAAAAGAAACATAAAAACTAATAATGGCGATACCAGGCTTCCCAAACTTTTAGGTAACCACCTACCAACTCCCGATTGTACTCCAATCCCAAGTGGAAGTACAGGGCAACCCATGTACAAAAGCTGCCCCCCCTCAAACAACAGAGTAAAAGGTGATTTAAAAGCAAAAGCCTAAAATAAGTGCTTTCATTTTGAAAACAGAAATGTTATATGTTCCAGCATTACTGGAACTGACATAATATATAGATTTTTTTTTCATCCATGTAAACAGAGCATAGGATTAAGGATTGATTTTTTTTTTCAGAATATGGGTTGACAAAGAAACCCACACACAACTAAAACAACCCCCCCCCCCCAAATCTATCAGCCCAACATAAAAAA